TGTCCAACTGTCTTTCTCTCTCTTTGGACTCTAGCCGATCATTTACTCCCTACCCCACCCACCTCCCTGTTTTCTGCATGTAAACTGACATTTTCCCAGCCACCATCCGTTCTGAGGAAGGGTCACCGGACCCGAAACATTAACTCTGTTTTCTCCTTCACAGATGCTGCTAGACCTGCTGAGCTTTTCCAGCAACTTTGTTTTTGTTCCTGATTTACAGCATCTGCAGTTCTTTTGGTTTTTATTTGTTAACCTTTTATTATGGCTTGGAGCATTTTAAGTTAGTATAGTGGTTCTCCATTTTATTCTCTGAAAATTCAAACTCCTGTTTTGATCATCTTGGTTCAGTTCCGGTATCTTGTCAGAAATTGACAGGAATAACAAGAGGGCAACCACAATACATTGAGCCCTCATACGATCCCAAGTGTGAAGGTCAGAAACTGAGAAATGCTTTAAAAGACAGGATGCTATTGAGAGAAAAATATCAAGATAAACACAATGTTTAATTATTTAGTTGTTCTTTAAATAAAGTAGATTGATTATCACCTAACCTTCTTAAACATCACTAAAAAATAGACATGAAGTTGAAACTTGACATACTTTCTACAGTGATGTCTTTGAGACTGTTTTTAGTGGAAATTAGGACATGCAGGTTGACTCTTGATTTTGTTTTTAAAGCAAGTTCTCTTCAGGACTCAGCAAGGTAACAGGCCTTTATAGGCAGGGCCTCCATGGATCATTTCTTTTCAGTCTTGCTTATCTTTAAATTATTCCCCCTTAGGTCCATTGAGTTAACATTGTTTGCTTTTTATCCTTTTCATCTCTGATTAACCACAAGCTGAGCACAAGTCCATTTTCAGGATTTATTCATCTGAGACTCTCATGTCATCTGACCATTGTGGTTGTACTTTCATAACCAAAGTATCCATGTCTGAGTTTCTAGTGAAATGGTCTCCCCATTTTCTCCCTCCTGCCCAAAATGAATGTTGCCTCCACTAATTAAGCTGTTCATGAATGCTGTAGCAGAAATTAGGTGCAAGAACAGCTTGGAGTTGGCCAGCAGAAGCTGATGCGTCAGGGACATGTTCAAGGGAAAGGAAGAAACCATCTGACTTTGTTTGTGCTTGAGTGGGCAGTGTGGAAAGATACTTGAAGCACCAGGGCAGAAAGTGAGGGGGAAGCTTTATGCCAGCTAGATAAAGCAGAAAACAAAATTTGCCTAAGTTTAGAATACAAGAGCAAAATATGAATGTTTGTTGGAGAGATCTGGAATGGAAGGACAATCAAACTATAAAGGGACACCTGAGTCATTTTCAATAGCATGGAGACTCTACCATCCATTTCATTTAAGGTGGGGGTGGAGGGTGGGAAGAGAACAGTCTTGGTCAGAGAAGTTATTTACTTAAGCTTAAATACATCCCCCTTGCAAATCCATCACTTAGATTAATAAGCATTAAGGACATAAACATGGAACTAGGCTAGCCATCCCACAGTCCATATGTTATCAAATCTGTAATGAATTTTTCTCCTGTCCCACAAAAACTCTAATTATTGTGGTGAAAATTACCATGCTGGAATCTGTGGGGTTCAAGTAAGCAAAAATTTTATTTGAGCACAAATGCAAAAGAGCAATCTGAGATCCAATTCCACAAAAATTTACAGCTCACATTTATAGTGCTCAAATTCCTATTCCCGTTTTGAAATTGCAAACTATGTGACTCAGTAGCCATCTGGCATTCTGTTTCTGGGATCATTTTACTCAAACGCATACCGCCTACCGCCTAATATTACCATGCAATGTTATCTTCTCCTGTTGTCCCTGTACTAATCCATGGGTGTTCATACCATGGCCTGCAGAACATTTACAGTTTCCCAGTCCCAAGATATAATTTTTTTCTTATTTTCTCATTTGATCAGGCATAAGGTTGGATGCCTATAGAGTTGAGAGAGGATCTTTATTGATCAGTAATTGGTCATAAAAACTAACCACGCTGCTAGAATTTATTATTGACTGGAATACATTCAAATTGTTGAGCGCACTAATTTAAAGTTTGGTTACTGAAACATCACAACATTCATCAAAACTCCAAGAATGTGAAGACTGGTGTTCCCATTGTCTCTACTACATTGTAGGTTGTAAAAGTCAAAGGTTTGAGAGGTACTGCGAAAACAATCTAAATGAATTGTTGTGTGGACTACAACAGCATTGTGCCAGTGGTAAATGGAGTGGATGGTGAAGTCAGAATATGGGCGACTTTGCTCAGAATTATACCGAACCTCAGCGTTATGACTGCACCGATCCAAGCAAGTGGAAAATATTCCTTTAGACTGTTGAAAATTTCTTGAATTAACATTTTTTAACGTTTTTGTTTTTTTAATATAAAATGATGCCCGTGCTGGACTTGCTTATTATGTTGGGTTAACCAGCAAACCCATTGCAGTGGAAATATGATTTGCCTATGATGCACCACAGTTTTGTTTGTTACACTGAATCTGACCAGTGACAGAAATATCCCACAACATCTGTTTGAAACTGACTGGAATGGCACTGCTGTTAATTCATGGATATTTCCAAGGATCGTCTCATTGGTACTGGGTGCTTGAAAATTTTAGTTTTACTGAGCAATGTTATGAGGATACAATCTTTTTATAGCATACTTTAAAAGGTAATGACTTTTGAATTTTTTATTCGTTTGTTCACAATGTAGGCATCGCTAGCTGGGCCAGTGTTTACGCCCCTTCCTTAGTTGCCCTTGAGAAGGTGGCGAGCTGCCTTCATGCAGTGCTGTAGACTATTTGGTGTAGGTAAACCCACAATGCTGTTAGAGAAGGAGTTCCAGGATTTTTACCCAGTGACAGTGAATGCCCAGCGCTGCCTTGAGTATTGTAGCAGCAAGTAGTGAATATTCCTTCACTCTCGACTCGTGATTTGCAGGTGATGAGAACTCTCAGTCTCTGAGTTGCTCTGTAGCTAAAGTATGTATTTTGAAAAATATACTTTCAATCCAGTATATTAAAACTCGCTGAGGCTATTTCCAAATGCACAAAAATGTGTTACCAACTGGAAATAAGAGCTGTAAGATTTTTCAGTTCATTCCAAAGTTGAAACTTTAAGCTTTGTGTTTGTATTGATGCTGGCTGCTTAGTGGAACGTTGATAAATAATTTTGGCCTGCCAACTGAAAAGGACTTTGTACTGCTTTCACTGAGTGGTTTAGAGAGTTATTTTCCACTCTGCACAAGTGCTGCTGCTGCTGCTGTGCTGCCCTTGTACAAACTTGCTGGCACCAACAGCCATGAGTGACTTTTTTTCAATGATTCTTCTCCAGGTTTCACTTTGGAATTAGCTCACTTTAAGACACCAGAGGGTTAAACTTTAATGATTTTCTTAAAATGAATAAATTCTGTTAATAACCACTCCATCACTGTAAAATCTGTTCATAAAATCATTAATTTATTTCTGCTGAATAATGGGGGTGTACCTTCGGCTATAATTGGGTCCGGTAATTTTACTGTTTATCATTACACATTCAAAACCTTTCCAGTTCTCCTTCCTCAATTTCCTGTTCCTGGGGCATAATGCAGTGATGCTATAGCATCTTGTTGAAGTGACCCCAATAGTGTGCGATATCTAGCTATTTGACCATTAAACCATCAACCTTTTCTAGATATCTTCTAATCAATCTGCACAGAGATGTTATTACGCACCTCTAGAGCAGGTGGGACTTGAACCCAGGTGTCCTAACTCAGAGGGAGGGGCATTGCCACTGTCAAGAGTGCCTCAGCCTTTCCTATTGAGTTCATTTGATTCTTGGATAGCTTGTGATGGGAATAGATGTAACACTACCCTTTATAACCTTTTCCTCTCTTCACAAAAGGCCTTTAATGCCTCAAATACAATATTAACCTTTGTCATTACCTTTTGAGTAGGAAATTTTATGTTCAGAGCATCCAATCTTAGAATCTGGTCTCATTGCTATCGAGTGGTCTTCTGCTTTCTGTTTCTAAATAACATTGTTATTCAGTGGATCTTTTGAATACAATTCAATTGCTGATTAAGACACTTTGCAATAAGGATTAAGTGGTTTTGATTATTAATCGATCTCTTATGAGCTCCTAAATGAAAGTTATATTTTCTCACTTGGACACTTAATTAGACTAGGAGTTTTGAGTGGCATGAAAATCAACTTATGTTAACTTTAGAGTTCTATTATCTGCGCATTTTGCATTTTGCTGTTTTAAGGAAAGTATTGAAAGAAACAATGCCCAGCATAGGAGCTCTGTTTGTATCTTTTTTCCAACTTGTTCAACTCAATTCAGAAATGAGACGAGTGTATATTGAGCATACATTAAGAAATGCCATACAGACTAATACCTATGCCTTGTGTATGTTGTTCTATTCAAGATTGGGTTAAAGTCTTGCAGTGGGACTCGAGGTGAAGTCACAGTTGGCGTAGTACACCATCAATAATGCTGTTTTTTGGGTGGGGCATGTTGAAAGTTGTAGATCTCATAGTGCTATCTGAAGGATGGGCAATTCTTTCCATAACTAAGCCTACTGAAATTTAATCAACTGGCTCTTCATCTCATTTCAAGGCAAGATCCTACAAGCAGTAGAAATTGGCCTTTGCATTTAGAGTCTAAGCCGCTGGGTTTGTAAATAAATAATTGTGACAGCCTCAGAGAAAGATGGATTGACGTAGGGTAAGAGTTGCAACTCCTTTCATGACTTTTTGTTCTTTCCATGACTTTGAAGTATCTTGTGGATCATGGCTAATTGTGGGCTACTGCTTGTATAATAAAATTACTCCAGTAAACTGTCCTTTAGGACTAGAGGAAGAACTTAAACCTCCAAATAATTGTGATGGCAGATGGCTAAGCAAAGGAGAAATTTGAAATTGTGACTTAAATAAAGTGCAGTTGCTGTTAAGGATGAGAAAGCTGTATGAATTGGAATTTGTCAGTCTGCTAAAAAAAATTTGTTTTCTTTTTGTTCTACAGAAGTGAAACACCGAGATCCATTCAGAGAAGGAATTGAGAAAATTTGTTTTCCTAAGAACAAGAACGCAAATGAAAATGAAAAGAAATCTAAGGCACCTAGTCCAATGTTGACTGACTTTAAAACTGATGGATTGTCATCAGATAGTTGTGATGAGATAATGAAGAGCTCAGGTTCCCCCTCTGAAATACTTCAGAGGACAGAGTCCCAGCCATGGGTTGGTGGACTTGGCCGTATGCCCTTTGTGAAAAATGAAGCCTCCGACTGCAAGCAGGGCCGTCAGGGAGGCACTTCCTTAAATCCCAACAAGCCTTTGGAAATAAAAAGTAACCAAGGGACATTTGGACGGGTGGAACATCCCAGCTTTAAAGATGAGGAGATGGAGAATGATTCCCAGCCCCTTAGATCAAACTGCAGGACATATTGTCGTTCGAATAAAGGTAAACCAGGAGTTGCTGGCATGACAAACTTTGATAAAGTAATTGATGGCACTGGGAAGTCTGCACATGCTGATCTGACATTGGGTAAGGAAAGCCTAAAACCAGATACCAAAATTTCATCAGGGACAACAGGAAAGACATCTACAGCTCGGACTGCAAAAGACACTATCACCTTGCCCTCATCGTATCTGTCACCTTGTAACGTCACACTTCAGGACACCACAGACCGTAGTATGGATGAGTTCACCACTAGTCCAGCTGACCTGGGAGAAGCTGGCCGGTTGCGGAAAAAAACAGAAGCTGCTGCAAGTAAGACAACGGTCCGATTCCGGCCAACCCATTCCAAATCCAAAAAGGATGCGAAGCTGGAGTTCTTTGGGTTTGATGAACAGGAGGGAGAGGAAGATTCTCTCCAATCCACTGGAGGTGCTGCCAACTATAAAATCAAGTACTTTGGTTTTGATGATCTAAGTGAGAGTTCTGACGAGGATGAGAGCACTGACTCTGAAGGTAGATGCAAGAAAAAAGCATCAACAAGAATGGGTGAAATGGTGGAACTCTTGTCGGGCTCTGAGTCGACAGGTGACTCTCAGAGTAGCCAGCCGCAGTCTCAGGACAGCACTAATACAGGTGGGTCACGGACGGATCCGAAACTAAATGTCTTGCGTTAAAATTTTAAATCGTCTTTGCATTGTATCCACTTCCATTGTTGCAAAGTCGTTGGATTCAGTCTGGGTGAGCCTCCTTGCAAATAGAAGTACAGATGCAAAAGTAGACCATTCAGGCTCTGTTTTGTTCTATTATTTAATTAGATTGTAGCTAATTTACATCATCTTGCACTTGGTGAAAGATGATGTTCACAGATATTTAGTATTAAACTAGCAGTTTCCAGATGCATACATATATTTGCTACAGGCTTATTACCTTGCTAGTGTTTCTGTGCCAGTCTGGAGTTCTTCGGCATGGACCCATTTGGGCCAAAGGACCTGTCTCTGTGCTGTAGGAGTCTGTGTCATACTACAGCATATTGAAGCACTGACGTTAAGTTAATGTTGCACAATGTGCTCCTGTACATTAATCTCATGAGACAATGTTCTTGTTCTGGTGAATCTGTTGTAAGTTTAGACAATTGAGCCAGAGCACACAGGAGCAGAAGTAGTCATGTCAGACCATCAAGTTTACTCTGCCATTTGTTGAGAGCATGGCTGATCTGAAAATCTTCAAAACCCCTTTTCCTGCTTTTCCTTGTAAGCCTTTATTTTCTTACTGATTAAAAGTCTGTCTATCTTAGCCTTGAATATAATTAATATAGCATTGACAGCCCTCTGTGGTGAAGGACTCTGCTCTGAGAGAACAAATCCTCCTTGTCTGTCTTAAATGGATGACCCCTTATCCTGAGATGATGCCCCCTGATCCTAGACTCTCCTACGAGGGAAAACCATCTTTCCACAATTACTGTCAAGCCCCCTAATCTTGTATGTTTCAATAAGGTTGCCACAGGCTTTTCTGAGCTCCAATAGGTACAAGTTCAATCAACTCAATTTCTCTTCATAAGGAAATACCCAGGACTCACTAAGTGAACATGATCTGGATTGCCTCCAATGTCAATATAGCTTTCCTTAAGTAAGTAGACCAAAACTATTGAAATGTATTATAGAGATAGTAGGAGCTGCCGATGTTGGAGAATCTGAGATAACAAGGTGTAGAGCTGGATGAACACAGCAAGCCAAGCAGCATCAGAGGAGCAGGAAAGCTGACGTTTCGGGTCTTGACCCATCTTCGGAAATATATTATGTGTGGCCCAACTAGTGCTTTGTATAGTTTTGACAAGATTTCCCTACTTTTGTGTTCCATTCCCTTTGAAATAAAGGCAGACATTCTTTTTGTCGTCTTTATTACCTGGATAAAATTTTTGTGTTTTAAGCGTGAGGGCTCCCAAAATCCCCTGTACTGCAACTGTCCATAGTCTCTCTATTTAGATAATATTCAACACCTCTCTTCTGCCAAAGTGCATAACCTCATTTTCCCATATTATATTCCATCTACCAGTTTTTTTTTTTTATCCACTCACCCATTCTGCTTCTAGTCCTCTGCAGACTTTATTTCATCCTTCTGTGCCTCCCCATCTAACCTAGTGTAATCCACAAACTTGGCAAGAGTAAATTTACTTCCCTCCTCTGAGTCATTGATGTAAACTGTAAATAATTGTGGCACTGATCCCTGCAGTACTGGTTATAGGCTGCTATCTTGAACATGCCCCATCCTAACATAATTCTTATATTAGCTAATGCTCTTTCCATTCTAATATACTACCTTAACCACCATGGACTCTCAATTACCTTTACATGTAGTGGATAGACACAAAGACACACAAGGGGAAGTGATGGCCTAGTGGTATTATCGCTGGACTGTTAATTCAGAGACCCCGATTAATGTTCTGGGGACCTGGGTTTGAATCCTGCCACGGCAGATGGTGGAATTTGATTTCAATAAATATCTGGAATTAAGAGTCTAATGATGACCATGAACCCATTGCTGATTGTTGGAAAAACCCATCTGGTTCACTAATGTCCTTTTTAGGGAAGGAACCTGCCATACTGACCTGGTCTGGCCTACATGTGACTCCAGACCCACAGCAATGTGGTTGACTCTTAACTGCCCTCTGGGCAATCAGGGATGGGCAATAAATGCTGCCGAGCCAGCGATGCCCTCATCCCGTGAATGAATAAAGTAAAAAAAAATAGGAAATAGGAGTAGGAGTGGGCCATTCAACCCTTCAAGCTTGCTGTGTCATTCAATATAATCATGGCTGATCATCCAACTCGGTACCGTGTTCTTGCTTTCTCCCCGTACCCATTTTACCATAACTGCCTGAACAATATCTAATTTCTTCAGGAAGACATTTCAATGTTTTGACCTCAACTGCTTTCTGTGGCAGAAAAGCCTACAGGCTCACTACTGTCTTGGTGAAGACAGCTCTACTTATCTCAGTCCTAAATGGCTTACCCTTTATCCTTAAACTGTAAGCTTTGGATCTGGACTCCTTCCTGCAGTTAGCCTGTCTCATCCTGTTAGAATTTTATAGGTTTCTGAGATTCCTCCTCCTACTCATTCCCCCCCACTCCACACTGCACTACCCCCAATCCCATACTCTTTAATTTTACATGCTAATCTCTTGTGGGGCTGTATCCACAGCCTTCCAAAAGTCCAACAAATCACATCCATTGACTTCCTCTGTATCCATTCAACTAGTTGCATCATTGGATAATTTCTCTCTCTCAAATCCATGCTGACTCTGTCCAATCTTATTACTCTTCCGTCATTAAATCTTGTATAATGGACTTCTTAGCATTTTCCCTCCTGTCGATGTTAGGCTAAGTGATCTTGAATCCCCTGCTTTCTCTCTACCTCCATTTTTTAAAAAATGTGGTGTTACGTTAGCTAGCCGCCTGCCCCGCCCCAATCCATGGGAACTGTTCTAGAGTCTACAGAATCTTAAAAGATGACCGCCAATGTACCCGTAATTTCTACGGTCATTTAAGTATTTTGGGACGTAGTTTAGAGGGCCCTAGAGATTTATTGATATAAATTTCCAGAACACACTTTGCATGCTCGTACAGATTTCCTTTGGTTCTTCCCTCTCACTAGATCCTATGTTCCCCAACATTTTTGGGACATTATTTGTGTCCTCCTTTGTGAAAACAGAACCAAAGTATGTATTTAATTGGTCTACTATCTTTGCTTCCCATTTTACCTTGCCCTATTCCCTCTTTGCAAGGGACTTTGATTTCTCTTCAAGAATCTTTTTTTTCTCTTGTGCCTATAGAATCAATTTGTATCTTTGCCACAAGCTTAAACGCTTACTCAATTTTCCTCCTCAAGCAATCTCCTTCGTTGAAATTTGAACCATTCTCAATCCTCAGGTCTGTTGTTTTTCCTGGCCAATTTCTGACATACAAGTTGATCAGTTAGATAATTTGATCAAATTACTTGGATCTAATACTATTCCTGATCCTCTTGTTAGCCATGGTGGGGCTAACATTCCCATTTTACTTTTGTGCCAGAAAGGAATGAACAATTGCTGCACTTCATCCATGTTCTCCTCAAATAGGCATCTTGCGCATCATACCATTGTAGTCTATTTAGATTCAAGACTGTAATCTCTCTATCAACTATGTCACTCTCCATCTTGATGAGGAATTCTACCATAACAAGGTCAGTCTTCCCCAAGAGGCCTTATGCAGCTAGATTGACAATTATCCCTTTTTATTACGCAGTTTGGGATATTCTGTTCTCTGGATGGTTCCTCATTTGATCCGGAAAACCATCCCATATACACTTGGGAATCCTTCCTTTGCAATATTGTTACTGATTTGATTTGCCCGATCTGTATACAGATTAAAGTTGCCCATTATTACAGCTGTACCATTATTGCTTGCGTCTCTGAATTCCTGCTTAATGCTTTCCCCAACATTACCACTGCAGTTTGGGGTGTCTAAATAGTACCTCCACTATCGTTTTCAGCTCCTTGGTGTTTCTAAGCTCTACTCATAAGGGTTCCACTTCCCTGGAGCTAATATTCTTCCTCACTATATTGTGTTAATTTCCATTTTAATTCGCAATGCTACACCAGCTGCTTTTCCATTTTTGTGTGTCCTTCCTAAAAACTGAGTAGCCTTGGATATTTAGTTCCTGTCCCTTGTCACCATGCAGCCTCACATCTCCATAATTCCAACAATATCACCTCATTTATGTCTCTTTGTGCGACTGATTCCTCCACTTTATCGTGAATACTCCATGCATTAAGGCACAAGGCCTTAAGTATTGCCTTTTTAACATCTTTAGTCTGTTTGTACTATTTTCCATGTGACTCTGTTTGAATGAATCCTCTGTCTTAATTTTTCTTACTTCGTTTTATCTTGGCCCTTAGTTCCCTCTCTTCTGTCCCTTTATATCGGTTGGCACGCATGTATGCATACACGCACCCCAACAATTTGTTTAAATTATCTCCAAATGCACTAGCAAATACTCCTCCAGGACATTGGTTCCCGACCTGTCCTTTTTAAATTACTTAGGTTGTTAAGTACCTGTGTTTTACAGGGTTTATGTAAATTTTAATTGGTAATTTTTTTCTACAGAATTCATCCCTCTGTCCTTAGTCATACAGCATAGAAAGAGACCCTTCAGTCCAGCCAGTCCATGCCAAACATAATCCCAAACTAAACTAGCCCCACCTACCTGCTCCTGGCCCATATCCCTTCAAACCTTTCCTATACATGTATCCATCCAAATGTCTTTTAAACGTTGTAATCGTACTTGCTTCCTCCTCTTCCTCAGGAAGTTCATTCCACACTTGAACCAGCCTCTGTGTAAAAAAAAAAAAAAAAATTTACCTCATCTTTTTTAAAATCTCTCTCCTCTTACCTTAAAAATGTGCCCCCTAGTCTTGAAATTCCGCATTATAGAGAAAAGACAACTACCATTAACTCTATCTATACCTCTCATTATTTTATAAGCTTCTATCAGGTTGCCTGTCAACCTCCTACACTCCAGTGGATAAAGGTCTCAGCTTATCCAGCCTTTCTTTATAAGTCAAACCTTCCGTACCCGGCAACATCCTGGTAAATCTCTTCTGAACCTTCTCCAGCTTGATAATATCCTTCCTATAACTGCATGACCGGAACACAGTATTCCAAAAGAGGCCTCACCAATGTTCTCTACAACCTTAACATGACTTCCCAACTACAATACTGAAAGGACTGAAGCAATGAAGGACAGCGTGCCAAATGCCTTTTTAACTACCCTGTCTAAATGTGATGCAAACTTCAAAGAATTATGTTGCTGCACCCCTTCATCCCTCTGTTCTACAACACTACCCAAGGCCCTACCATTAATTGTAGGACCCATACCGTTGTTTATTGTACCAAAATGCAATAACTTGCATTTAACCTCACATTTGTCCAGATTGAACTCCATCTGCCATTTTTCAGACCATTGACCCATTCAATCAAGATCCCTTTGTAATCTTAGAAAACCTCCTTCACTGTCTACTACGCCACCAATTTTGGTGTTGTCCACAAACTTACTAACCATGCCTTCACTATTCTCATCTAACTCATTTAAATGACAAACAGAAGAGGATCCAGAACCGACCCCTGTGGAACACCACTGGTCACAGGCCTCCAGTCTGAAACGCAACCCTCCTCCATTACTGCCTTCTGCTGTTAAACCAACTATGTATCCAGTTGGCGAGCTCACTCTGAATCCCGTGTGACTTAACTTTACTAATTAGTCTACCACATCACCTTGTCAAAGGCTTTACTAAAATCCAAATGAACAATGTCTACTGCTCTGCCGTTATCAATCTTTTTGATAACTTCTTCGATCTCAATCGAGTTTGAGAGAGACCATTTTGTTCGCACAAAACCATACTGACTATCCCTAATCAATTATTGCCTCTCTAAATGTCCATAAATCCTATCTTTTATAATCACTTCCAACAATTTACCCACAACCGAAGTCACACTCTCAGGTCTATAGTTCCCTGGTTTCTCCGTACAACCTTTCTTAAACAAAGGTACAACATTAGCCACCCTCCAGTCATCAGGCACTTCCATGCAAAGACTTGATCTTTTGAGGCCCTACCCTCCCTCTAGTTATCCTCTTGCTCTGAATGTTTGTATAGAATCTCTATGGATTATCCTTAATCTTATCTGCCAAAGCTATCTCATATCCCCTCTTTGCCTTCGTGATTTCTCCCTTAAGAATGCCCCTGCATTATTTATATTGATTAAGAGATTCAATGGAATCATGTTGTCTGTATGTAAAATAAGATTCTCTTTATTCTTGACTAGAACCTCAATCTTTATTCATCCATTGTTCCTTAATCGTACCAGCCTTGCCCTTCGCTCTAACAGGAACACAATGCCTCTGAATTCTCGTCATTACACTCTTGAACACCTCCCAGTTGTCAGACATCCTTTTACCTCCGAACCGTCTACTCCAATCAACTTTGAAAGTTCCTGTCTCACCGTTAAAATTGTTTGCCAGTGCTGCCAGCATTTTTAGCAACTCTTCTTTATCTAGCATTATACTACATAGTTGCTCAACACCCACGTTTTCAACGAGGCCACCGTCACCAATTTCTGGTTTGCTGAAGACAGAAGCAATGTACTTATTTAGTACCTCTGCCATACCTTTTACTTCAGTAAGCAGCTTACCCGACTTCTCTCTTTTGGTCTCCACTCTACCTTGACTAATTTTTTGCTATTAGTATGTTTAAAGGACATTTCATTAGTTGTTTTTAGCATAGTCTGCCATCTTTTCTTCGTGCTTTCTTTTGGTCTTCCTTATTCCAACCTTAGCTTCGCTCTGGTATTTGAGATAATCTTGCTATTGCTATTCTGGTATGCATGGTGTTGAAGGCAGAGCTGTAGTCAATAAGTAGGAGCCTGAGGTAGGTATCCTTGTTATTCAGATGTTCCAGGGATGAGCGTAGGGCCAGGAAGATGATGTCTGCTGTGGCCGTGTTGTGCCATTAGGCAAATTGCAAAGGATCAAGGCAGTTTGGTCAGCTGGAGTTGATGTGAACCATGACTAACCTCTCGAAGCACTCCATAATTATGGAGATCAGAGCTGACAGGTGGTAGTCATCGAGGCATGCTGCATGATCTTGCTTTGGCATTGGGATGATGTTGGTCTTCTTGAAGCAGGTGGGGACTTCAGATTGCAGTCAGGAGAGGTTAAAGATGTCAGTGAATACTCTTGCCAGCTGGTCCGCACATGATCGGAGTGCTCAGCCAGGGACTCCATCCGGACCAGTTTCTTTCCATGGGTTTGCTCTCAAGACGGCCAATCTAACGTCTGCAGTGATGATCGTGAGTAGAGGTGTATCCAAGGCTGTTGGGATAGGTGACATCCCTTCATTGACCTTCTGTTCAAAGGCATTGTAAAATGCGTTTGAACTCATCAGGGAAGGATGTATTGTTGCCCACGATTCTGCTTGACTTTCACTTTATAGCTTATGTCATGTAAGCCTTGCGACAAATGACGAGTGTCCATGTGGTTCGTCTGGGGTTTCAAGCTTCGTTTGGTGTTGCCTTTTGGCATCTCGGATGGCTTTACAAAAGTTGCATCTAGATTTCCTGTATAGGTCAGGGTTACCTGACTTGAGCACCTCAGACCTCGACTTCAGTAGGGAATGGATCTCCCAGTTTATCCATGGTTTCTGGTTGGGGTACATTTAGATTAACTTCCTTGGCAGGCAGTCCTTTACACGCTTTCGAATGAAGTCTGTAACAGTAATGGTGTACTTGTTTAGGTTGAATATGGATCAGTTCATCGACTGTAAGCAGTCCAGTAGAAGATCTTTCATTGCTTCAGACCATTACCGCACTACTTTCTGTACTGGGTCCTCATGCTTAATTTCTGGTGAGACTGAAACTGTGGGGTTTCAAGTTTCTCCCTCCTCAGCATATTCTTGGCAAGCATCAAGCCATTGGAAATAAGATGGATGATCTCAAAGCTAGGCTCCCCTTCCAAAGGGAATTGAGAGACTGCTGTGCTCAGTCGGCAAGGTAAAGGAAGGAGCTGTCTGCTTCCTGATCGCCACCACCTGGTACTCGGATGTTGCAACCGTGGCAAGTTACTGCTCCTGTGACCTAGAATCTTGCAATTATGTACGCTTTCTCTGCCATTCTTCGATTATTATTATTCTCCTTGCTACCTTGCTTTCCTATGTTGTCTTTTTCCTTTAGCACTTCACTTGTGTCTTCCCTCATGATTTCTTACCCCACTGTTTAGTTTGAAGTTCTCTCCATTCCTGTAGTCTAGTAAAATTTACATCAAGTTACATTGGTCTGGATATTAAGGAATAACTTTAAAGCCGGGGACTTGGTGATGTATTTCAGAGCAGCAGGTGTATTTGGGACAAGGGAGATATGCAAGGTGCAGGCTGGTTGGCATCTCTGCATTTGCACAGGATTCTATGAAAATGTGGTGTCTCGTTCTGGAATCCAAGAGTGGAGCTGCTGCATAGTCAATCAAGAACATATCAGTTGTAGAACCCTAATATAAACTGCTGTAAGCTTTTAAAAGTTTCTTTTTTAAAACTACTCTGATTTTTTTCTGTTTTGCTGCTTCTACATTTTACTGATGCTGTATTTGATTTGAATTCTTTCTTGAATACTTCATGTGAATGAGTGATCCTAATTATGATGAAGTTGTTATTGTCGGTCAGTACTGAATACTTGTAATCACTGACTACACCTGAGTATCAATAGTTTTGGGACTGCAGAATGTTATTTTAAACATTGGATTGCTTTAGAGCATGATACCAAGCAGTTTTGTAATCCTATTATGAATAACATTGTTTCAATGTGTGTAGCATGTTGACAGACGATTTGGACTCTTTCAGATTACCTGGAATTCAGTGATGAGTCAAATTCCGATCCTGGTAGGAAACCAATGAACAGACAGGAAAAAGCCAAGGAAAATACCAGGAAAATCTTCCATGGGCCTAAACGGGTAAGACCTCCAGGCTGCTGAAAAACTGTGTGTCATAAGATGACCTGTGCTTCTGTGCTCAATTAGTATCGAGTGTTTTATTTATATTGAGTGTTCAGGCTTTGTTTCGCTTGGCAACCCAGGTATGTCCCATGGACCCTTGAAGACTATGAATAAATTTTTACTGTTTTTCTATTCCTTTGCATGTGTCTCCAATTATAAGAAATCTAAAACATATAAAGGTTGTATCAAACTTGATGCAGGGATCAAATAAAAACCGAAAGAACTGCAGATGCTATAAATCAGAAACAAAAACAGAAGTTGCTGGAAAAGCTCAGCGGGTCTGGCAGCATCTGTGAAGTGAAACCTGAGTTAACGTTTCAGGTCCAGCGACCCTTCCTCGGAACTGAGTTTTTCCAGCAACTTCAGTTTTTAATACAGGGATCACCTGAATTGACTGTTCAGGAGACAAAGGTGACATGACCCTGCAAAAAAGACACATCAGTAACATTTATGATCGAGCAACAAAATTATACTTGGCTTATGGGAACCATGCTTCTGTTTTTCTAATATTCTGGCCACTGACCGTGTTCCTTTACATGCTGGGTCAGAGTAATGCATGTAGTGACCCTGTCCATCTCCCCATCAAACTATCCCTGACTTTGAAATGCTTAATGAAACTTGTATTGATAGAGGACTTGTTTTGTTGCAGTTCCTTGCTGTGTTTTTAAATCCTGAATTGTTTGTTGCTTGATCATCCAGTGTTTGTTAGTGACCTTTCTCCATAGTGTTGGTGTTGCTATGTAATGGGATCTGTGCTGAAGGAAGAGGAGAAGACAGAAAAAGAAACAACTGGTTTCTTGAGACCTCTAGCGATGACCTTTCTGAAGTTGGCAACTGAAGGGAATGGCAGAGCATCCAGCTGCTGCTCTAGTGTGTGTTGGTCACGTGAATAGTTTTGACTTCAGACTGCAGTAGATTATTTCCACATTGTCTCAATAAAGGCCTCTGTGATCCTGCCAAGATACTTTGTGCTGGTTTGCAAACAAGCTGCCTGATGGTGTCAGGGCGGATTAGCCTTCATTGTTCCAAGGCAGAATCTAAGACTTAGTATTCTCCACAGTAGCTGGTAATTGTATAAATGCAGTAAAATTGGTAATTATTAAATATTCTCCACTAAAGAATAAGCTTCACAGTGACGATTTTGCCCACTTTCACCCTCACTTTGAATTATTCAGTTTGTCCGTGCTTTCAGTTTGAGAGATCTATGGAATTCTCGGAAAGGTGAGTGAGTGGTGAATGTTTTTGGAGTTGGATTAGTTGGCAAGAAGATTTGTTCAAATACCACAAAGTTGTGGAATTGAATTTAATCTGTAGACCACGAAAGCATTTTTAATAAGGTAGTAATTTTGATGTCATTCAAGGTAGGACCTGTCACTGTCCACAGTCTGGCCTAATACATCTGTAGTCTCGCAGTGACCTGAGAGCAACAAGTGATGGGCTATCAGTAGTGCCTTTGGATTGCCACCCACATCCCAGCAACAATTATAATTTAAACTCCTGAGTGGATCTGGGGTCAAATTACGGTTTGCATTGAGGGGAGACAGCTTGTACTCAGTAAAATCTGCTATGCCATTGAGAGGGTGCAAAGTGTATGTTTGGAGGCTAATGAATGAAGTACTCCGAGTATTGCTTTATTCTAAAACACCATTGCACAATAGTGTGGAGAAGTACTTCATGTTTGAGCAAGCATCATTATCTCCAAACCCAGATGGGGAGATAGAATTGATAACAGGGTGCATTTAGTCACTGCAAGCATCCAGTGGTAGCTTTGAGTTTGTACTTGGCAAAGAGCCACTTCATTGATAAGTGTATGAAGTCTGTTAGTAAATGTAGTATTCAATGGTTAGTAGAATGTAGAAACATTTGCTTTTAAAATGCATTAGTAATTGAGTGCCCTGAATAATTCTGGCTGCTATTACTAGAACAATGCAGTGCTGAATGGTAATTCTCCCCAGGGCTGGAGGGCAGTAGGGCTGTACAAAGAGAAAGCTATGTTATACCTACAACAAAGAAGAAATATTTGAAGTGCATATGTATACCACATGGATTGGATGGTGCACCATACGTAGAGCTATTGTTACCCTGACAACTGAAATTACTGGAAAATGTGGCCCTGAGCACAGCAAGTTCAATGAAAAATGAAATATTTGAGGAAAGGGAATGGAGAAAGCTGGGAACTACACTGGGACTCCAAACTCTTGTGGTAATATGCACTTTCTTGTAATTGAATTTGATATATCCCTACAGCAACGCAACTCCTAGACGACAAAAGATTAAAGAATATTCAGGACCATGTTTTTCACATTTACGTGACTGGCGATGATGTCAGAATGAGGGATTATGTGTAGATTACCTGCCACAAGCATGTGGTATAGTTTCGGGATGTCCAGGACAAGATGAAGTGTATTTTTTCACACAAATACTGGACTCTTTGAGAATAATTATAGTGAATACAGGAAAGTTTTTATTTTGTTTCAGCACTGTTTGGTTTAAAGTCTTGACCCATTTGTTCTGCAGTAGGTTTCAGTATTTGAGAAAATAGAGAAGGGGGTTACTGGTAGTTGCAGGACCAATTCAGGTGGGGGCATTAGAAAGTATTACTGCTGAAAAGGTAACTGGGTTTTAGAAGGGTCCCACTATGGGGTGCAAAAGAGCAAACAGCCTGTATTGATTGTATGTCATTTATGTGCTGTTGATAGACATTAACTGGGATCTTGTTTGGAGATGCTTATTGAAGCTGTGTGGTTGAGTTAGAAGATGTATGCTTGTAATGGTTCACTCTGTAAACATAGATAATGTGGATTGACTCCAGCACTATTATTCATCTCCTTGCTGTCAAAAAGGAACATTTAGATCTCCATAGTAAACCAGATGAGAACGTTGAATTTGAACACGTTCAGTTATACCTATTAGCAAGTTGAAAACAAAGGGTCCTATTTTTCTGACTGGAAATATCTTTGAATCCACTTGCTTTGGTCAAACTCGTAACATTGCCTGTCTAAAGAATAATGTGATAATTGTCATCAATGGGAGTGCATAACTTAGTGAAACTTTGTAAACGCACGTTGTCTACCCCCAATCTTCCCTGTGGCTGACTACCTATAACAGCAGGGCTTCAACTATCAGATGAAGTATTTGGATTAGGAAGACTGGCTGCTGTGGAGTTCAGACTTATTTTTGAGAGTTACGTAAGATGTAGGAGCAGAAGTAGGTCATTCAGCCCATCGAGTGAGCTCCTCTGCTCAATAAGATTACGGTTGATGTGATAATCCTAAACTCCAGTTGCCTGCCTTTTGCTACAACCCTTGATTCCCTCACTGATTAAAAAACCTATCTCAGTCTTGAATATACTTAATGACCCAGACTCAACAACTCTCTACGGTAAAGAATTCCACAGATTCAGTACCCTCTAAGAGAAGAAATTCCTTTTTATCCCTAAACAAAAACCGAAGGAACTGTGGATGCTGTAAATCAGAAACAATTGCTGGAATAGCTCAGCAGGTCTGGTAGCGTCTGAGGAGAGAAAGCAGAATTAAAGTTTCAAGTCAGTGACACTTCCTTAGAACTGATAGTAGCTCGGAAAATGTTCGTTTATTTGCAGAAGATGGAGTGGAGGATTGTTAGCCATTAACAGGCTTTGTTAATAGCTATTCACACTCCTACCAAGATCGTTATCCAGTCCTTTGTCTGTCCAACTGTCCTCCTCTCTGTTTTGGACTCTATCTCCATCTATCATTTACTCCTTAACCACCCACCCCGCACCCCCCAACCAGTCCTATGTTAGGCATATAAAATGACATTTCCTTGGTATCATCAGTTCTGAGGAAGGGTCACTCGACCCAAAATGTTAACTCTGATTTCTCTCCGCGGATGCTGTCAGATCTGCTGAGCTCTTCCAGCAATTTCTGTTATTGTTCATCCTTTTCTCTGTTTGAAATGTGTAACCACTTTTATTATGCTACAGGTAGTTCTTCTATACCACAATAGTTGTGTTCTTGTGCAACTTCATGCTATAGAAACTTGTATACTGTACTGTAGAAAGTTTGCGTTATCGAAACACTATCCACTATTCATCAATCGCAATACAGCCAATTTGTGTTAACGAAACATGCGTTAGCAGAAATACCTGTATCTAGCCCTAGACACTCCCATAAGGGGAAACAACCTTTCTCATCTACCCGGTCAAGTCACCTAAGACCCTCGTATGTTTCAATGAGGTTGCCTCTTATACTTCTAAATTCCAATGGGTTCAAGCCCAAGCCACTCAGCCTATCCTCATAAGACAGTGTCTCCATACCTGGTATCAGCCTCTTGAAATTTCTCTGATTGTCTCCAATGGCAGTTACCTTTTCTTAGGTAAGAGTCCCAAATAATATACCGCCTGTATCTGGTGGGTACTTTGTATAACTTTAGCAAAACCCTCCATTCCCTTAGAAATAAGGCCAACATTCTATATGCCTTCTGTATTACCCATTGAACTTGAATGCTAACCTTCTGTGGTTCATGGGCAAGAAAAAATCCCAAATTCCTTTGTTCCATAGCATGCTGCAGTCTTTATCCATTTAAGTAATCAGCTTCTCTATTTTTCCTGCAAAGGTGCATATCGTAATATTTCCCCACTCGTTTTCCACCTACCAAGTTTTTGCCCACTTGCTTGACCTATCTATATACCTCTGCACAAACTTGGCATTCAATTTCCTCATCCAGGTCATTAGTATATATTGTAAGTAATCATAGCCCCAGCACCGATCCCTGCAGCACTCCTCTAGTTACCATCCTGACAATGTTCCCCTAATCCCAACTGTCTTCTACCCATGCTAATATATTACCTCCAGCAGTATAGGGCTCTTAAGTAGCCTAATGTATGGTACCTTGTCAAATGTCTTCTGAAAATTCATGTCTATTATACTGCTTCCCCTTTATCTTCCTTGCTTGTTTCCTCCTCAAAGAATGCGAAT